GGAGGTTTAAGGACCCACCTCTTAGGAGGACATGGGCCTGATGCGGCAGGGCCTGGGGAAGGGGCCCTCCCGCTGGAAGGGGGCAGAGCCCAGGAGGTGTGTGTTGGGTAGTGGTGAGCACGTAGCCTGGCAGAGCAGCCCCCTGGTTAAGGGGGTGTGCGAACCGGGGACAGTTGGCTGGCAAGTCAGGGAGCTGGCAGCCACTTCAGACTGAAGAGGTTTGGGAACCTAAGCTGGCTCCGTTGGCAGCTTCCTAAGTGTGGCTCCCCCAGCTGCCCTTCCTCTCGCACCGTCTGTCCTGAGGCTGCTGTCTGTGGATGAAGGACAGCTGTGCCTTCTGAGGTGCCAGCCGCAGCACAGGGCGAGCACAGCAGTCCCTGGGCTGGGTCCTGAGTCTTTGCTTGGAGCCACCCCCGTGGACATGCTCAGCCACAAACTTACCATCATTGAAGACCCTGCCAGCCAGTACCCATGGCCCCAGGTCCCAAAAGGCAACATCCTCTCATCTCCTTAGACATCTCTATAGCATTTGACTCTGCAGGCCCATCTTCCCTGAAGTTGCTGGAGCGAGAGGGGTGGGGGACACTGGGATGTCCTTCTCTTCTCTGCCCTGGGGACTAGGCTGGGGTGGGGGCTCAGATCCCACCTCCTGGCTTGGGGCAGCCGCCAGCCTCCCGCCCTAAGACCCTTCCTCAGTCCCTGCCTGCGCCCAGGCCTCCCTCCTGCAGCTCGGCAGGGCGGGGTCAAGTGTTGGAACTGCACAGGGCAGTCCCTCCAGCCTGTCTGTTTCATCTCCCTCGGGTACCGATGAGGAAACTGAGGCCCAGGGAAGACAACTGACTTGTTCTTGCCTTCCAGTAAGTTCGCATAAAAGCTAGATTTTCATGGCTCTTTTCTTTCCTAGTTGAGTCTTCTTTCCACCGTCCTCCCTGCTGTACAACCCTTCCTTCCGTGCCGACAGCCCTGATAGGACGCAGAGAAAGTAATCTTGGTTAAGGGTTAGGAGACTGGCACAGTTAGCTGTGTGACCTTTCCTCAGTCTCTTAACCTCTCTCTTTTCTCTTTTGCTGACCAGAAAAGAATAATGATTAGATTTAGGAAGAACAGAACAGAATAGCCTGTGGGTGGTCGCAGAGTTGTTTTGGCTAAAATTAGAAAAACAATGTAGAGGACTGGACCCTAAATGGCTCAGAGGACAGGTAAATGTTAGTTTGGGGGTTCCCTTACCAGTGATCCCAAAAGTCTGGCCCCCTAGGAAGTGGCCCAAAGGGGACCGAAAGAGTTCATTCCCTAGAGATTCATTTGGGGCTGTGAGGAATGGCTGCGTCTCCACCTGTGTTTGCTGCTGTCTTCTCCTGGATGTCCCCACCTGTCCCCCCATAAAAGAGGTGATGACGATTTGAGCACGAGAGCACAGGACTCCAGCTCCTCCCCCTGCCCAGCTCCACACACTTTTGGTTCAGAAGCTTCTGGAGAAGATGAAATTCCCACTCTGAGATTCCCTGGCCTGCTCCTCCCCTCCGGGGTCAACACTGGTGCACCCCTGCCTCTGTGGGGGTGCCTGGCAGAGCAGAGGGGCCACTGCATCCTCTCTGTGCCCATCCTCGCTGTGCCCAGCTGCCCAGGGTAGGCAGGAAGGCTCAAAGCCTTCCCATCCTGGGAGCAGTGGCCCGAGACCTGGTGCCCCCTGCAGACCAAGGCGGGAGCGACGACACCTGTGAGGCGATGACAGGTGGCTGCCGCCGGGACACCCGGTTTACCCTGGCACAGCCTGTCCCGGTCAGGGAGACCCCCATCACTTCCATTTCTTGAAGCTCCCAGAATGTTTAAAAATAATAATAAGGATTCAGGGCTCCTGAGCTGTAGTATGTTTTAAATGTTTACGTGGAACCGAATAACGCTTTTCACACCCACACCGCGATGTGACCGTGCTATTCACAAGATAACAGAAATTTCAAAAAGCAAAACAAAACAAACCATCGTGCGGAAAAGGCTGGAAGTGGGACACCGGTTTAAAGTTGTTTGATAAGCGTGTCGTTTTTGACTCTGTCTGTGTTTTCCTGGATTCTGTGTTAGCCTCATTTGGAAGAAGGTCAAGACTTTAGATGCGAGGTCTTTGATGACCGTGGCACCCCAGCAGCCCTCCCCGGCGTGGGCCTGGCTGTGGGGTCTCCACGCGTGGCTCCTGAGGTCTAGGGTCCCCAGGTCTATTTCCCGCTGCTGCTTGGATGTGCTGAATGGGACAGAGAGGCCACTGTGGTGAATGTCGTGGCCTTGGTCCCTGTGTGGGTCAGTCAACGGCAGTCCGCAGGCTGCCCCCTGGTGGTCATCACAGAAATGGGTGACTTTGGGCTGGAACAGCAGTTCTCAAACCATGGTCCGGGGGTCCCCAGTACCTTTCAGGGGGTCCGCAAAATCAAAACTTTTCATAAGAATAACAAGACGCTTGGTCTCCTTCTCTCACAAATGTGCAGAAGATGAAAAGTTCGTCGATAGGATTTTAGATGCCACATTGGAACTAATCTTTAAGAAGCTACCATCTGTTGCATTTTGGTGCAATTGAAGGAATATCCACAATTATCTGGAAAGGCAATTAAAATAGTCCTCTCTTTTCCGACAGTAGTTCATATCTGTGGGAGTCTTGATGTCCTTCATGCACTTTAACAAAACCATATGTGGCAAAAGATTGAGTGAAAAATCAGCTATGACCATCCAACTGTCTTGTTAAGCCAAACATTACAAAGACTTGTAAAAAGGTAAAACAATGCCATATTCTCACTAATTGTTTTTGTTTTGAAAATATAGTGGGTTTTTTTGTAAAATATGTGAACATCTAATGGGTCTGTGATTTTTTGGTGAATTAATAATTTTAAAGTTTTTCCTCAGTTTTAATTTCTAATATGGTAAATATCAGTAACTATAGCTCATATCATTTGGAGTTCTCAAGTTTTTTTGTTTGTTTTTTTGCAGAGGAAGATTTGCCCTGAGCTAACATTTGTGCCAATCTTCCTCTATTTTCTATGTGGGTTGCCACCACAACATGGCTGTCACTGAGTGGTGTAGGTCTGCGTCTGGGAACCAAACCTGGGCCACTGAAGCGGAGTGCACCAAACTTGACCACTAGGCCCCAGGGCTGGCCTGTCAAGAATTTTTATAGCAGTTTAATGAGATGTAGTTCACATGCCATAAAATTCACACTTTTGGGAGCTGGCCCAGTGGCCAAGTGGTTAAAGTTCCACATGCTCCACTTTGATGGCCTGAGTTCACAGGTTTGGATCCTGGGCGCAGAGCTATATCACTCACCAGCCGCACTGTGGTGGCAACCCAAATACAAAAGCAGAGGAAGATGGGCACAGGTGTTATCTCAGGGCTAATCTTCCTCAAGCCAAAGAAGAGGAGGATTGGCAGCAGATGTTATCACAGGGCCAATTTTCCTCAACAACAACAACAACAAAATTCACACTTTTAAAGGATACAATTCAGTGGTTTTAATTTATTCACGAAGTCGTGCAACCATCACCACTATCTAATTCCAGAACGTTTTCATCACCCCAAAAAGAAACCCTGAACCTATTAGCAGTCATTCCTCGTTCTTTCCTCTCCCTGCCACCACCCCAGCTCCTGACAACCTCCCGTCTCCTTCCTGTCTCTGTGGATTTGAACATTCTAGACATTTCATATAATGGAACCACACAATGTGTAGTCTTTCACGTCTGCCTTCTTTCACTTAGCATCGTGTTTTCAAGGTTCATCCATGTGTAGCAGGTATCAGTACTTCATTCCCTTTTGTGGCCGCATAATATCCCATTGTTTGGATATGTCGCATTGTGCCCTTCCTCAGTTGACATTGAATTGAAGTGACATTCAATTGAACGCACATTGAATTGTTTCCACTTTTTGGCTGTTAGGAATAATGCTGCTGTGAACATTCACGTATAGGTTTTTGTGTGTGTGGACACGTGTTTTCAGTTCTCTTGGGTATATACCTAGAAGTCGTTTCTGGGTATATGGTAACTCCGTTCAACATTTGAGCAACTGCCAGACTAAATTCCAAGCTGAATAATTTTTGAGTGTGCGGGAGTCCTGTGTTTGAGAACCACTGGTGCAGGTGGGCGCAGACCAGGGAGTGTGGATAGCTCAGTACAGCCCCTCATCTTTGCGCAGGGATTGAGATACCCTCAAACTCAGCTTTCTCTTCCCCTCTCTTCTCTCCCCCAACACATATCCTTGGTGGCCCCGAGAGAGCCAGCTAAGCTGGACTGCACAAGTTAAACCACCAGGAAGGTCTGGAGCAGGCCCGCCTCCCTGCAGGATTCCCGAGGGTGCCATTTTCATTGTAGTCCCAGTGGGCGGCACCCCCTGCAGTTGTGCAGGTGGCGGTCATGGCTGCAGCCACCGTCCCCTGCCTGCCTGCCCACTCTGCAGAGCACGGTGATCGTTGGCGGAACCTCCCGGGGAGCAGAGTCTGTGTAGACCTTGTTTGCAGAGCTGAGGAAGGCGGGTGGCTCCGGCTGCATGTGTGTACCTGGGGTCGCCACTCCGGGTCCCCCGGGTTTGGGAGCGGCGTGGGGTTTGCCCAGGCTGTCAGGCCGTCTGCCCTGGCCCAGCCCCTCCTGCTGGGCGATGTGCAGAGGACGGCAGGGGCTGCACTTGGAAGAGCCGGGGTCAGCGCTCTCCATGGCTGGCCCACTAAGTGGAAAATTGAGGAGGTGTGCCTCTTCTCTCCTGTGTGATTCTAACCCTTTGATGTCCTGCCAGTTATGTCTGATCTTGTCACTTAGTCACATGATCCTCCTAGAACTGTGAGCTTTTTGAAAGAGGAGCTTTCAGGGAACAGTTTAGCTGGAGGAGTGATTCTGATGGTGCGATTCCGGGCATCAGTGGAGAGCAATGTACTGGGATAGGTTGGAGGGGCCGATGTCTGCCATCTGAGGGACCCTGTCTGCCACCTGCACCCCTGCCAGTGACCTGCTCTTTCTTTTTCCCTCTTCTCACCTCAGATGTGACCCCCTCCCCCGGCTGGGCGCTCCAGGCCATGGCCGACACCATCTTCGGCAGCGGGAGTGATCAGTGGGTCTGCCCCAATGATCGGCAGCTTGCCCTGCGAGCCAAGTGAGTACCCCAGGGCCCCGCCACGCCTTCCTTCCCCCTCCCTGCTCCCCTCCTTTCTTTGGTGAGCTTCAGTTCCAGAGACGCAGAAAGAGAAGTTTGGACACAAGTGCTTGTCTGATGCACACCATACCCCAGGCCCTGAGCTGGGCACTTAACAACCATTCACTCATTTAACCACCGTGTGGAAATTTGTCCCCATTTTTCAGAGGAGGAAAGTGAGGCTGGCTTTGCCTAGGTCGCTTCGGTTGTGAGTGGCAGGGCTGGGACCACACTCGGGTCCATCTACTCCCAAACATGTGTTCTCTGTACCGCAGCAGACTGCGGAGAGCCAGACAGCTTCCTTTGCCTTCTCTGTTAGAGTCGACATCCCTCTGTCACTGAACCTTCAGTCCTGGGGCTCCTGGAGGCGGGAAGCCTCTGATCTCTGGGTGCCCACTTCACAGCTGAGTGCCTGGCGCCGACAGACAGGACAGAGCAGAGCTGGTCAAATGAGTGAAGAGCTGTCCCTGGGCTGAGACGCTCAGCCAGCCTTGAGGGATCCCAGGTCTCCTCCACTCATGTCAGGGTCTCTCTGTTTCTGATTTGTCCCCTTGGGGTCCTGGTTTTCCTGTTATCCCTTAGCCTGGCGACCCATCTGCTCCAGTTATGTCAGGCTGTGTCCACGGACCATCCCCCCCATGGCTGGAGACCAGGGGCGCCCGGGTGCCTCTCCTGCCTTCCAGTCCTCTCCACTCCTCTGGGGAATTGGGGATCCCTGGCATCCAGTAAGCCCAACAGCGCCCCTTCACCTGCAGATCCTGCCAATTCCGGGAGCCAGAGTTTCCCCAATGGGACCAAGTTCAAGAACTCTGCAGTTAGATGTTATGAGCCTGCAAGGGGACAGAGCTGAAACGTCAAACAGAGATAGAAAAGTGAATCCCAAAAGCGCAGGAACAGTGGAGTCCTGCGCGATTGCAGGAAACTTTGCATGACGGTCAGTTTGTCCCTCTCACTGGGATGGCTCAGCTCCTTCCAGCCCCGCAGAGCCCCCGCGGGGGGAAGGAGATGAGGGATGAAGCCAGCCCCGCTTTCTCTCTCCTCTGATGCTGGGCGAGGTGACGTGTCCCCCAGCAGGACACGAGGAGCTGGGGAGAGCTGTGTTCTTGTACTAGGGCCTAGGGTGACCCCTGGTGACCTCCCCCACAGCGTTCCCTTCAGTTCTCCCTGACCTTGTCTTGCACTCAGCAGCCAAAAGCTGTTATAGCACCTTTTAGAAGAGCCATGCTTTTATCTCCTCCCCCAGGGTGTGCTCCTTGTAATGCCAGGCTCCTCGTAATGCCAGGACTACAAGCCCCCGCAGCCAGGCACTATGCCCAGGGGAAGCCTGGGGAAATTACCTGCTGTGGCTCCAGCTCAGGTCTGTCTTCCAGGCAACATCAGCCGTTTGCTAACCCCCTCCTGTGTGTTGGGCACTGCTTGCACAGCAGCAAACGAGAGCAATGTAGTCCCTTGTCTTAAGGCACTGGTGGGGAGAGGTGAGTGTTATACAGATAATCACCCACAGGCAGTGACTCTGACAGTGGAAACAGGCAGTGAGGGTGAAGGGGGTGCCAACTTAGTCTTAATGAAGGGGGGATTGGGAGAGGCTTCCCTGAGAGTGTGATGCTTATGTTAAGTCTTGGAGGAGGGGCAAATGTTAGATGGAAATATGGGGGAGGAGCTTCTAGGTGGGAGGAACAGCATGTGCAAAGGTCCTGAGGCAGAAGGAACATGGCATACAGAGGGCCTGACAGGAGGCCAGTGTGGCTTGAATGCAGAGAATGAGGGAGTGAGTGGCATGAAGGGAAGATGGAGAGAGGGGCAGGGGCTGGATGGGGCAGGGCCTGGTCCTCCAGAGACTCACATTCTGGAGGGGGAGACAGAGGGTCCCACATTGCCTCATAGTCGTGTTTAAGCTCAGTGGTGGAGCTATGCCTGGGCCTCATGGGAACACTGAGAATGGACTTTTAACCCATCTTGGAAGGGATCAAGGAAAAGCCTCCTGGTGAAGATCATGTGTAAAAGAGTCTTTAAAAAGAACAGCAGTGAGCCAGGTGGAAAGGGGGTTTAGGGAGAGGGGCAGGCACCCCAGGTGGAGAGCACAGCCTGAGCAAAGGCCTGGAGACAGCACGCAGCCCAGAACGCAAGGGAACTAGGGGCAGTTGTTGGTGACACACACCTTGTGAGGCCAGGTGAGCTGAGAGACAAGGGCACCATACGGGGGACGTACAGGTGGGTGCTGGGCATTGCTGAAGCTTCTTCTCTGGGGGTTGCAGCCCCGTCTACACCTAGCAGCCTTGGCGTGGCCTCATTTGGCTATGTGGAGGGGACATTGCAGGGGAACAAGATGCTCAGTGGCAGCCGTGGCCGTAAGTGGGAGTCAGGGCTTGACCAGACCAGGGTAGTAAGCCTGGGAAGGAGGTTGGATGAAAAGACGTAAATTGTCGGAGCTGGTGGGTGATCAGCTGGAGGCAGAAAAGGAGGCTTGCAGGATGCCCTGAGGGAGCCTGGAAAGGCTGTCGGTAGCAGCTGCATGTGGGCTCCCCAGGCCAGGAGGCCAATGAGCCCTCACTTGCCTTTAGAAGCCCTCCAACTGTATCCCGCCTCTTCCTCCCCTGAGAGATGGGGAGGCCTGCCTGCGGGATGACAGAGGTCCAAGGGAGGAGGTCTGTAGGCCCTGGGCTGGAGCGGGGCCAGAGCGAGCTGGAGGGGAGCCTCGCCCCCTGGGATGGGTGGCAGTGCTCGTGCCCTGCCCTCCATCTCTGTGTTCCTCCGCCTGCCTTCTTCCCGTGGGAGGAGTGCCCTCAGTTTGGGGGCCATTTTCCAGTTCTCCTCTGCTGGCCTAGAAGGCCACACTGAGAGGGTGTCCTTGCCAATCACTGACCACCTGAGTTTCTGAAATGGTCAGACAGTGAAAACTAGCAGCTTGGGGTGGGGGAGTGTTTCTTTTCAGAACCGAAAGCCCCTGGGTCTGCCCAGCGCTCAGAAGGCAGGCTGGCATGTGCCCCTGCCTCCCCCTCCCGCTCCGGCCTGCCCCCACTTCCTTTCTCTTCCAGCCCTTTCTCTTCCCACCCATTGTTCCCCCCCCCCCCCCCCCCCACCGGCTCTGTGAGGATCCCTTGAAAAAGTGTTGGTCTTGACCAGTGCTCTGTTTTTTTTAGTGGGAGAAATAAGCCATCTAGAAGCCTGGCCCCCCAAATACAGTGCATTACTTTATACCTTTGCAAGTGCGCATTCCTCTGGCTAGACGCCCTCTCCGTCCTTCCGTTGGGAAGCACCTATTCATCCTGCAAAACCCCACACAAACACTCCTCCTGTGGTCAAGCCGTTCCTGATGGTTCCACCCCTGATAATTGTAGTATCATCATTAACTACCACTTATTAAGCAATCAGGCACTTCTATATGCAAAGCACTTTATACTTGAGCCTCATTTAATCCTCATGGTGTCCCTTAAAGAGACAGCTCAGGAAAGCAAGGATGAACAGCTGCCCACATTCTCACACCTGGGAAGGGACAGAGCCGATAGATAAGACCTTCGAGTAGATTCCAGGGTCTGAGTCCATCACCTCCACCAGCCCTCTGTCCGGACAGAGAAAGGATGTGCTTTGTAGCTCTCCTAACTTAACACAGTGCTGGCCATGCAAGAGCTGTTGGCCGCAATAGCTTGATGGCACAGTGACGGGAGACCACCAGTGTCCATGTTGTGTCAGGGAACCACCAGGAAGGCATCCACGTCCTCATCTTCCTACTCTGTGTCTTGCATCAGAGAATCTTGTCGTTTCCTTAGGGAAGCCCTTCTCGAACCGCACCCCCAGACTAAGACAGCTCCCCTTTTTTGTACGTCCTCCTGACGCTCACCTGTGTGTCCCGCCCAGCGGCATGTCCCAGCACCGAATGAGCCCATCACAGTGGATGCTCAGTGCAAACGCATTGAATGAATAGCTCTTATAGTTTTTCATTGAGTACATATTTGTGTAATTGATTGGGCATCTGTTTCCCCAGCATATTGTAGTTCTCCAAGGTGGTGACTTTGCCATCTTGTCCATCTCGGTGTTCCTAGCACTTGACACAATGTGTCGGAGAAGCTGGGACCCAGGGCAGGGAGTCTGGGGCTTGGTCTGCTGCCGCCACTCTCTCCCCATCTAGAAAAACAGGAAGGCTTTGAGTTCTTCCCTTTAGTCCCTGGTCACAGCCTCAGGAGGTGTCACTTCCGCAACCCAGGGGAGTGGAGACGATTGAGCCCCACACCGTGCCGTCCTGCCTGTCCTCGCCACCCCTCCTCTTGTGCAGCTCTTATGCCCTCCTGGCCTGGAACCTCTAGTTTTCAAAGTGTGAGTCTCCTTTTATCCTCAAGTTTCGATTTTAACCTGATTACCATTCTCTCCTCTCCCATCGTAAATCCGTCTCACTTTCTTGTATGACTCAGATCTAGGTTTTCATTCCTCTCTTGATAGTCTTCCATGCTTCTCCCTCGAAACCGCACGCGCTGTGGCAGTGGCCTTCTCCATTTGCACAGCGGTGCATTTGCCCCTGCTCCCCAAGCTGCTAAGGTGCTGCCGCGTCTTTGCGGAGCCGGGTAGCTGGTGGGTGGCAGAACCGGCTTGGAGCCTGATGTCTGCCCTCTTCCCTGAACCCCTTGCCCCCGGCACCCAGCAGCTGGGCTGTCCCCAGACTCTTCTCAGGGGGGCTTTGTGGATGTGGCGGGCGTGCCCTCAAGGCATCTGTGATCTCTCTCGAGGCTGCAGACGGGCTGGTCTGTGCACACCTACCAGACGGAGAAGCAGAGGAAGAGCCAGTGCCTCAGCCCGGCTGAGCTGGAGGCCATCCTGCAGGTCATCCAGAGGGCCGAGCGGCTAGACGTCATGGAGCAGCACAGGATCGGGTGAGGGCTGCTCCCCAGCTGGGCGGGAGGGCGATGAGTGAGGGGAGAGCGAGGGCGCCTAGCACCAGGTCGGCCGGTGGGGAGTCGGGCAGCCTAGTGCTGGCTTCTCGCCACTGCGAGTGAGTCAGCTCTGCCTGGACACACCTGCAGTGTAGACGTGTAACCCGGCCCATTGAAGCTGCACAGTACCCCTCTGTGAGGTGTGGGTAGCGGCTGGTGTGTGGGCCCCGGGGTGGGGGAGGATGAACGAGTGTGTCGAAACGCGCCAGCGGCTGTGGAGCTCTGCACACAGAAGGGTCGTGTGGTTCAGCCGGGCAGGAATTCAAGTCGAGCCTGAGCAGTGGGTGGTCCCATCAAAGACTCCAACAGGAGCTGCGCTCAGCTTGTTCTGAGCTCTTCTCCTGGCCTCTGGCATCCAGCGCTGACTCCTACACAGTCTTCAGACAGCTTCGTTGTGTCTTTTGTTGTTTGTTTAATTACGAAAGCGATTCATACTTCCTAGGCAATGTGAAAAACGCAGCAGAGCGCCAGAGGAGGAAAACGCATGTGCCGTGCATTGCATCGGGCAGGAATTAATTTGATTCTGGTCTCCTTGTTCTTCTTCTGTTTATCTTTTTCTATTAAATAAATCATCATTTGAAAAAGTCAGACACTGCAGAAATGCACAGTTCTAGAAAGTGAAGGCCCCACTACACAGACCACTGCTGTCCAGAGTTTGCCGCCTGCGCTTCAATAATACTGGCATATTGTTATCATGTTATTACAAAAAGGGTTTACATTAGACAGACCAGTTGTCTTTTCCTGTCATTTGCCTCCCCACCCCCAACCTGGCTGTGGCCCCGCCCTCTTACAGACCCAGCCCTAGGGCCCTGCAGAGCCCCCTCCAGACCTGAATGTGCCTGCGCTGGTAATTGACAGGCCAGCGCTGCATCCCTGGGGCTCCCCCAAGAGGGCATGCTGGGAGCCGGTGGGTGTGTTTCACATGGGCTCCCCAGAGTGGGAAGCATTTGTGCCCCCCTCGCCCGCTGGGCTGCTGTTTTTCCTTCCCTGTGCTGTTCCCATTGTCTGTCCTCACTGTGAGCACTGGGTTTGGCAGGGGTGTGGAGTGACCCGGAAGGCAGGGCCTCAGGTTAATCATCTCTGAAGAAGGAGGTGCATCCCGGGGGTTTCCGTGAGTTAGGAGGCACAGGGTCATATTGACGGGGGGGTCCCCGAGGCAAGTGTCAGGCCAGAGCTGAAGCTGGGTTTGCCCATGGGGCCCTGCAGGTCCCTGGGGGAGGGACAGTGACCCCTGTGGAAGTCAGGGGTGCTTGCTGGAGGGCACATGGGTAGAGGCAGCCTCAGCCCAGTCTCTTCTTCTTTGGCCCCCAGGCAGAGCCTGATCACCTAGGGGAGAGCGTGGGCTGCCATGAGCTGGGGGGGGCGGTGGAGGGGGACTGGGCATGGCCCTGCTCCACCTCTTAGGAGCTGTGTGATCTTGGCAAGTGACTTCACATCTCTGAGCCTCAGTCTTCTCATCTTTAAAATACGGGAAAATAGCATCCTTCTCACTGAGGGGTTGTGAGAATTAGAGAAGATATTGTACCCCCACACCGTCCTTCATTCATTCAAGAATTTTCACCAAGAGTCCACTGGGCACTTGAGATAAAGTGGACAACAAAACAGAAGTGGCTGCCAGTCTTGTGGAGGTTGTAGTCTTACAGGTTGTCATGAAACGGAGGTCACAGTGGGCGGAGGGGCCGTAAGACCCAGAGGAGAGTCACCTACCCCACGCTTAGCGGGGCTCGGGGGATGTTCCTGGACCTCGGCATCTGCAGGTTCAGGGGGGACCTCTTTCTCTTTCTTCCTCCAGCTTCTCTGCCCACCCCGTTGCTCAAACCAAAAGCTTCCACGTCATCCTGGATCTCTCTCTTACCCCCCTCACCCTAATTCCATCAATGCTGCCTCTGAAATCCAGCCTGTCCCATGCTCCATCCCCCCTCCCTGGACAACCCCCCTCCCCGTCCCCCCTTCCCCCCCCCCCC